TTCGACTGTACATACAGTCATCCTCAAATTACCATATTAATAAAACTCTCTAATCTATTTTTTGTAGGAATGATTCATTGTAATATAAATTGAACTGCACTACATATTTGATATATATATATATATATATATATATATATAAGCAATTATATTTCTGTTCAAGATAAAATCCTTATATCTCTCTTAATAATATATATATATATATAAGCAATTATAAGATAATTAAAAAACATAACAACATAGTCTTTAACAGATATAGGGATTCAAAAGTCTTGACTACTCAACAGGTTACTAACTGCAATACTAAATATAATAATACAAATAACAACTTATGTAATTGTAGGAATCCAAATAATTGTCCACTACAAAATAACTGTAGGATTACTTCTGTAGTCTATCTTAGTACTATTTCAACAATTGAAAATCCAAATATAAAGAAATTTTACATTGGTAGCACCATGAAAACATTCAAGGAACGCTGGCGGGGGCATATGCAATCCTTTAATCACAGTGAATATAGGTACATGACTTCATTATCCAAGTATTTTTGGAATCTAAAAGAAAAGAACAAAACACCTACGGTTAAATAAAGTTTGGTTAAGAAAGCTCGGACATGTAACTCCTTATATGCCCCATGTTACCTATGCCTTAACGAAAAATTTGAAATTATTAGATTTAAAAACAAGGCTGATCTCTTAAATCAAAGATATGAACTTACAGTTAATTGTAAACACCGTTATAAATTTAACTTAGTGTAGGGGTCTATACTTTAAATGATAATGATATGTCGCTGTAATTTTAATAGATTAGTATTTTTATTGCATGATGGTCATACTTACGATATAAATGTGTATTGTTTACCTGCATAGTGTTATTAGTGTTGGTGTATATGTGTATATATTTATTTATGTGTTGGTTAGAGTGTTTGCACTGAGGAATGTGTAGGTTTGAATATAAGTCTATTTATATGTGTTTTATATATATATATATATGTGTGTGTGTGTGTGTGTGTGTGTGTGTGTGTGTGTGTGTGTGTATGTATATATATATATATATATATATATATATATATATAAATGTGGGAGGGTATGGTAGATAAGAAGAGAAAAGGTTAAAAAATTGTTGATGTATATGTGTATGTGTGTGTGTATATATGTATGTGTGAGTGTATATATATATGTATATGTGTGTATGTGTGTATATGTATATATATATATGTATATATGTGTATATATAAATATATATATATATATATATATATGTGTGTATATATATGTATATATATGTGTATGTGTGTGTATATGTATGTATGTGTGTGTATGTATATATATATATATATATATATATATGTGTATGTATGAGCACCCTGCGGCGGTATAATGGTTAGCAAGCATGGTTCGCTAGATCAATTGCGAATGTGTAGTGAGATCGTTACTCACTGGGTGCCCCCTAATTTCGGCTTTGTGCCACGATATATTTGTATATATATGTATGTGTGTGTATGTGTGTATGTATGTGTATATATATATCTGTGTGTGTATATATGTATATATCTGTATGTAGCCTATTTTATTGTGCATGTATATTTATATTTAAGTATATTTCTGTTTGTATGAATGTGTTTATATATTTGTATGTTAGGGTATATGTATATTGGTGTGTGTTGGTATTTGAATGTATATTTATTTATGTATATGTTAGTACGTTTATATATGTATTTGGTTGAGTGTTGTTGTATTTATATGTATTCATGTATATATTGGTAGTTGTTATTATAGATATATATATTTATATATATGTTTATTTGTAGATATGTATGTATTTGTATATATATTTATGTATGTTTGTGGATGTATATGTGTGTGTTGGCACCTATTATGTATGAGTTTGTTTGTGTGTATGTGTGGGTATGGAAACTTTGGTATGTCATTACTGCCACAGTAGTTAGTCTATGTGTATATATATGTTCATATATGTATTGGTGCATGTATGTATATTGGGGCATATTATTATATATCTGAGTATGTGTGCATAAAAATGTGTGTGTATATATGTGTGTATTTATCTTTATATGTATATGTGTGTGCGTGTGTATTTGTTATCATAGATATGTTTATGTGCGTATATGTTTATATATTTATATGTATGTATTTCTGTATGTATATGTATGTATGAGTGTATGTTTATGTATGTTAATTTGTGTTTGCTGCCGCGTGTATATATGTATATGCGTATGAATGTACACTTATTTCTGTGGGTTTCTTTATCCTGTTTTTCTTTGCCTAATATATAATGAAACTATTATCAACTTATATGATTAAAATATATTTTTATTGATATTTGTGGTTTTTGGAATTTTCGTTTTAATATATTAAATAATATTATTTTTAACCATTTTTATCTTTGTATATTTGCTCCCTTAAGTTATAATGTAATAAGTGGTTAGCATTTATTTAATGATACTTTAAGTCTTAAATATCTATTGGTTGTGGCATCTGAGTGTCTAGGTCATTGTCTGTGGATGTGTGTACGTGTATCTATCGGTGTCTATATGTATGTAGAGTGTATTCACATTTAATTGTGTGTGTGTGTATAGGTGTTGGTTTCCCCGTTTCCTTTTTTCATAAAGGGTTGTAGTGATGTTCCTGTCTCGTCGCCTTTTCTTTTCTTTCCCTTTTTTTTGTGTGTGTATATATATATCTAAATATGTCTGGGTGATTATGTATTATAATCTGATTGTGTTTTTGTTGTTTTGCGCGTGAGTTTAAGACCACATTCACACACTTTAGAATAAAAAATATATATACATGTATTGTCAAATGACCGGATATATTGTAGCGTCTTGTCGAACGTAATTTCAACGAAGAAATAAATTGAATAAACATATATATGTTTTCTTTTCTCAATATTTTTTTAGTTTTAAAACTTAATAGTGATTAAGTTTGGATTTTAAAATTGCCAGTTTTTAATTTTAATATTAAATTTTATCATATAATTTTATAATTATTGGTTAGTATAAATTATTTTTAATATTACACGTATTTTAAAGATCTGAATAGCTATTATAACATGATTTCGTTGTCAAGCTTTTGAATCTTTCTATACTTGGTTTTTGATTGGGTATTCTAGCTTTTGTAACAATGTTTCCCCCTAGTGTAGGATCGTTAATTAATCTGAAACTTTTAAAACCATTTATTTTATTTTCAATATCATCACTTGATAAGACACCGAGTGTGTTGAAATAAAATGGCTATTTTTGAAGTGATTTTATAACATACTTATGTTATAATTTTTTTTATTAACATTATATATATATATATATATATATATATATATATATATATATATATATATATATATATATTGCGTTGAAGCAAAACTAAAGACAGAAATAGAAGGAAAAAGTATAATATGTAGTATCTCTCCGATTTCCGTGTTGGAAATTTCTCGAACTTCAAAATCAAATTTTCTACCTCTGAACTTAGCGAATGTCTTGCAAACAGAACTTATACACCATCTTCATAGGCATCACGCATATTTTTTTTCTTTGTATAGTGATTTTCTTTTAATTTCCGAAAATGAAATCGTATAAAACCATGAAAATGGATCTAATCTTCTTTTATTTCCAAGTTTAATTTAAAAGCATTTAAAATTTACAATCCACACAGGAAATACTTCGAACACCAAGTTATAATGCCACATTTCAAAAAAACATGTATATATGTCAAAAACTACCCTACATGTGAAGCTAAACATGTTCAAATTCAACCACTGAAAAACACTACAATACTTTGTTCTAACTCTCTCTCTCTTTCTCCATATATATATATATATATATATATATATATATATATATATATATATATATATATATTTTTTTTAAAAGTATTTTATTTCAAACATGGCGCTAATATGCAAGGGTTACTGGCTGTGAAAGAGAATGAGACGACTTTAGTAAAAAAGTGGAAAAACCCAATCTTAAACTTTAAACAAGAGATAAACCGTTACTTCTCAAAAACCGGGAAGGAGTGTGAACCGAGCGATACGTGAACTTAGCTACTCCTATTAATATATATATATATATATATATATATATGTGTGTGTGTGTGTGTGTGTGTGTGTGTGTGTGTGTTTGAGAGAGAGAGACAGAGAGAGAGAGTGTTTGTTGCGACAAGCCGACCGTCTGTCTTGCCCAAGAAAATTACTTACTCTTCATTTAGTGACCAGTGTCCCATCTTCTGACAATATGGCTCGCTCGCTATAGCCAACAAGTTGCCATATTTGACGTGGGAGGTTACTCCAACGTAGCGAATACAATTAGTATTGCTTCTTCAGGATATGTAGGCCAGCCAAATTGTAGGTGATAATCATAATGTTTCCCCACAAGATTGGATAGCGTCAATATTCTATGATTTTTGAGTTGTTTGCTTATTTAAAAAATGTCCGAATTTCGAATTAGTCTCATTTACCGAGAGACAAAAAAGTATTATTACTAATCACTTGTAATGCATACTTATTCTTTTCTTTTATACGTCATGTCCCTTCAGTGATCATGGATCTCCACGAATTACTGTAGCATTAAATAATATTTTATCACCTTATTATTAGTCCGTGTTCATGTTCTACCATCACATGCACATTAGGCGTCTTCTGAGCACTTAGACGTGATGTAATGATTAGTAAGTTTGTCTCGCTAGAAACATTACAACTGAGTAGTGGGTTTAATTAGATACCTCCATGAGATCGCTAAAAAAGAGCATTGCATGACGAAAAAGACTCCAAACTTGACGAAAACAAAACTTTATCGTTTAAATGGTTATGCTATTATTCAGAGGAAAGATCAAAGTAGCTTTGGGGTATTTTTTTTTTACATTTTTTAATCGTTCCTAGCTTTTTCGTTAAAATTCTTGTTTTCTTTTTACAAAGAAATATATAAATGAAATAAATTATACTTTTAAAAATGTAGTAATGTTGCTGCTGAAAATGGCTTAGGATGATGTTCAGTTTTTTTTAATTAGTAAAAACGCTAATTCAAAATGCTCAAAATGTGTTTCGCACGAAGAATTTGCAATAATGAAATGGTCGTTTTTTTGGGGGGAAGTGCTTGGAGGTGTGGAGTTTGTGGGGGTAGAGTCAGGAGGAGGAGTGTTGGAAGGAGGCGTGTTCGGAACAGGGGGAGGATTTGGGATGGTGGAGTTTTTGGGAAGTCGGGAAAGTTGAGCCCTAATAGAAAGGCTCCTTATTTTGTTTTTCCAATTTTTTGACTGGGGAAGCAGGGACGGAGTTGGACTTGGTTTTGTCCAAGGCCTTCTGAAAGAGGCAGACCGCAGTGGGGGCATCTCATCCATTTCGACTTCGTGTTCCTGCTCCAGTTGAGGGTCCTTATGCTGCATCTCCTGTGACTTTTCCTTCTTCTGCCCTTGCTGACACTCCTGCTCCAATTGGGACTTCTTCTGTTCGCCCTTTTGTTGCTGCTGATGCTGGTCCCGTTTCTGCTCTTGCAGAGGCTCTTTGGGTTTCTTTATCTCCTTTGGTACGTCCTGCTGATATGAGGAGGATGCAACTTTTCTTCCCTTCTTCAATACTTGCGTCCATTCTCCAGGACCTTTTTTTTTTTTGGCTACTTTGGCTCTTGTGTCAGTGCTTTCATAGGCCGTTGTATTTTTCCGATTGCAGTTCCGGTGTCTTCCCAGGACACGTTTTGGATAGATGACCGGCTGCTCCACAGGCCCAACAGAGACGAAGTTGACCTTCAACAGTTACGTAGATGGGACGTCCTTCACAAATAAGTACATTTGGAAAGGCCAAAATTTTATCCTGGTAACCATGACTTCAGTAGCTATCCCTACCTTACTTTTGACGGCTGAAACACTGGCCACCTCGCCAAATTTAGAAAAGTGGTTGAGTGAAATAAACAGCGGAACTCCATGTAGGGTTACTTTTGTTTTCCTTGTTCCAAGATACTCCGTTTCCTCACTGACTTGGTTGTCAATATGCTCCCCACCAGTGACTTAGCTGTTGTCTTCTGATGCCAGCAGGATATCCCACATAGCTCTGCTTCTTCTGACTAAAACTTTGTCCCCAATGTTCAAGATTTTTATTGCTTCCTCCATTATGTCCCTGTTAACTCCAATCATTGTGCGAGTCTTGACATCCGTAGTTACCAGGGAGATAGTTTTGGTGTTCACTGCTTCCAGTAGAGATGACACTGGTATCAATTCATCCTCCTTCACAAAACTTTCAAAGTTCTCCGGGAGTCCCTTATAATATTTGGGTCCTTTTGGAGCTGGTTTATCACCTCCCCACACCAAAGGGGTTGCTGGCGTGGGTGTCTCTTCTTGGAGTTGGCATTGCGCCATAGTATCGGCGTTGCCACAACACCGGTTGAAAACAACGGTCAAACAGAAAACGAAGTTACAGAAAACAATATAGGAACAATGGATACAATAAAAAAAAACGTAACTCCATACTTACTTTGACCCAATGTAACGCACGGAAATTTCGAAAGAATAACCGACGTAAAGACTGACGTACAATGTAAATGGAGTCGCACGAACGAAAAACTGAACGGTAAGACAAAACAATATCCTATTTAAATCGATATATGATCTGGAATAGTGTTCGTTCTATTTTTAACACTTTTTTAAAAACTTTTTGTGGTAGGGGTAATGAAATGGAATCAGCGAATCAATTTCAAATCATTCTAAACTCTTGATGTTAGTTTTCATTGATTGTTGTAACGATAGCTTATTTAATGCTAAACATTGTATGATTAAGATTGAACTCATTACTCTGTAGTAATATGTCAACATTTCTAGCGTTGATAAACATTACTCAACGCAGAGCCCACTATTGAAGTTTCTCCAAAATGCAATGGTGGTCATTGACGAGTTTTGAATAAAAACCTATAATACATACAGGATCTTTATACACCTATAATTAATACTGGATTTTTTATTTTAAACGTAACAAATACATGATTTTACGATGGACATTAATGTGTTTCTTTGGGAAACGAATGACTCTTGCCTTATATTTTTATCATCAGCTTTCGTCAAAATAACCTTTATTATCACCAGTCAATTTTAGATTTTGCTGTATTACTACTAATGCTGATATATAAGTTCACGCTTTCAATTCAAAGATAATTTCGCATATTAAAAATTAACACACGCACAAATGACGAGAACTCTTCAATTCATACAGACAAAAATAAAAAAAAAATAATTGACATTTGAATCGTACTGACGATATTTCTAGTCGATAATTTGTAATTTTATCACTCAGTTCTATATTTAAAATTTTAAAATATATTTGTTAAATTTGAAAAAGTATATAATTTTTCATTTTTTCTACACTGTTATTACTTTTTAAAAAAAGTAATCTTTTGCACTAATTGCTGACATCCAACGTAATCTTTCCCACAAGTTTTACAATTTCTTCTGAATATGTCAGCTACGAAAATTCTTTAGACATTCTGTCTCTCCTGCGTGTTAATCTCAAAGCAATTGTTTCTGGCAAGACTAAACTAGACGACGAAGCCATATCAAAAGATACTGCGAAAAAGGCGTTCACTAGCTGAGAATGCAGACATGACAGAATGAACAATGAATGCAAAATACATAAAAATAAATTATATTAAGCCATCACACGTTCGTCGTATCTGCTTGGAAATGAAATCTCGCATAATATCAGTCTTTTATCGAGATTAGCACATATAGTACTTCCCGTATAACGCATTCAACACTTTCTTGCCGTTTGCTCATTCCCTGGACGAAGCCTATCAATCATTTTAGGACGGGTTTGCAGTCAGGGAATGTTCAGAACAGTCACTGATAAGCACACAAATGACAGTTGAATAATTCATCATTAAAACGGAGAATGTATTGATCTTTGCAATGCCAGACGACAGAAGATGGTCTACTGGGGATTGGTAAGCAATATATAAATATAATTAGTTTGTGCGCATACGTATGTGTATGGAGTTATTTTTTGTATCTTATATTAGAATTTGTACTTTATTCGCCTTTCCTTGCACATCTTGACTGACATATAAAAAACGATTTTATTTTCAACATTCACCGCTGAAAATCCAAAGGTCATGTTTCCAACGTTGACCAGTTTTATATCAAGTATATTTGTTAAAGATAATTTATAGATAAAAACGGTTCCCGCAAAATTTGCTGATCCATTAAATTTCCTATCTGTTGATATTAAAGGGACTCTTGTAACAGACATTACTAGTTTAATCTCTAAACATAGTTTTCAGAGGTGGTTTTAAAGCCTAATAACTAAAATATCTGAAATTAATTAGACATAATATAACCTGATTTTTTCATAATTTCAGTTAATTTTTTAATACATGAAGAAAATTAATTTGCATGAAAACAAAAGTATGAATATGAGTATTGTAACATCTACAGTTACTAAGATTCATCGCCATAACAAAATGGCGTCGCCTGACGGAACTCTTTTGAACACAGAAGAAGCTGAAAACCTAAAGATCTGAATGAAATGTTTTGGGGCACGTACCAGAATAAAGAACTTAAAAGATAACCAATTACCTGATGGACACATAGAAATCACGAATCTATTTTTGACCACAGCGGTATGCGAAGCCATTAGGCAGATTGCTTTAATGACTTATCAGGTTGAAATTGAAAACTTGACATTTAAGGCGGTGAAAGAAATAATATTGAGAAATATTCAACCAAAGATAAGATTGGTCATATCTGAACAAACCAAATTCTTAGAATTAAAACAAGAATTTAGAAAGTCTATAAGGAAATATCTAAGAAGGTTAAGAGATACCAGAAGATATTATGAATTTCAGGAACAAAGACAACAAGGAATAAGCACAGAGGAAGAATTAATTCAACTCCGTTTGGTAGAAGGATTGTAGATCACCTCACATGAAGTAAAAAGTTTTAGAGTGGTTACAGACAAACTGACTGACTTTAGAAGCTTGTCTTGACTTCATGCAAGAGGGGTTAATTGAAAACTTTAATACAAATGAAAACCAACCTGAGCTTATGAACACATGAGTGATAAAAAGAACAATGATAAAATGCAGATATTTCAGTTATAAACATGAATCAAAGAGAGAGAGAAATGTCCAGCATGGGGGCAGACATGTAATAAGTACAAAAAGAAAAATCACCTTCAATTTTTATGTAGATGGCGAGATACCAATGTAAAAACAGAAAATGCTACTTCGCCAGACCCGACGTTAATACAAAAAATATTAAATGTATCTTCTGTAGATAATAAAAAAGAACCGGAATCATTTCTCAGATTAGCCAATTTTTATAGCAAATTCGTCTCAAAATATTCTGAAAGAATTGAAGCGTTTTCTGAGTTGCTTAAGAAGAATAAGGAATTTGAACGGACTAGTACACACTAAACAGCCTTCATTAAATTAAAAGAACCTCTATATAAAAGAAAGAAACGTGGACAAGATTTTTGACCCTAAAACGGACGTTACATTAATCACAGTCGGTATCGGCAATTTTGTCCCAGAAAGGATACCCGGTCATGTATTTTTCCAGGATATTGACACCAGCTGAATTGCACTACTCTAATATCAAAAAGGAAGTACTTGCAATTGTATGGAGTACGACCAGAGCAAGACAATTTTTATTAAGAAAAACTTTTTTGCTGAGATTCAATCATAAGCCCTTAGAATTTATATACCATCGTAAGAAAGAATTGCCGAAAGTTACATCCTCCAGAATATTAAGATTGGCTTCATAAGTTAATGGCTTTTGATTATGATATAGAATACGTGAACGTAAACACGATACCACACGTAGACGAATTGGCCCGACTACAATTTGAAAAGTAACAAAACGAAAAAAATATATAAAGCGTTGAGGATGAATTTTTGTATTGGGTGGAAACGGATGTGTTGCCCATGAATAGACTAGTTATGGGGACGTTACAAGATCCAGTTATAAGTCGAATTTTATTCTAGAATAAAAAGTAGAAAGACTATACATAGAAACCGGACATGAATTGCCAATAGAAAGTGGTCTAATTTGTAGTGGGGATTTAGTTGTACTACCATGAAAAAGTGGAAAAAAAGTAATTAAAATTGTACATGATGATGTGCATTGTGGGATAACCGCTACAAAAAAAGTTGTTAAAACTGGAAGCGTGGTGGCCGGGATACACCCGAGATGTGGAGAAATACGTAAGCAAATATCGTAAATGTGCCAAAATAAATAATTTTCGCCATAATAAAGTACACTCTTTTCGTAAGGAAAGAGAAACATGATTTAGAATTCATATGGATCACACACAAGTTAAAGAGGTAAGGTTTATGTCTAATATTGATTGACGATTTTCCCCCTGGACTGAAGTTTTCCGAGTTCAGGATAAAAAATCTATTACTGAAAAACAAATAACACGCATAATATTTGCTAGAAAAGGAGTACAAACATTAGTAACTGATAATCCTCCCGAATTCCGTGACGAAAATCTATGCTCGTGGTAAATACGATTGGCTGTATCTCATACAAAACACCTCCTTACCACCATCAATCAAATGGGATTGCTGAACGAATGGTCCATACAATAAAGAAGGGACTGAAAGAATTTTCTTTTAAGCAAGAAAAGATTGAATTGCTGACAGATTAGGGAGCCCGTCGGCATTAATAGGCAGACAGATTAAAGTGGCATTAACCATGTCTAACTCTATAAATGAAAACATATGATACAAAAGAAATAAAGAAAATGAGCCGGCATAGGTGATTTTCATAATGCAAAAAAGGTGCAGCATGACATTAATATGCTTGCCCATGCAGGCCAGTTAAGAGCTAGCCAAAATTATGAGGAAGTACAAAGTGAATCTAGTTCGAATGACTGTGTAGATTAACAAGAATACAACACAGAGGAATCAATGGACGGTCAAAGTTCTTCGGAACACTGGTAGTACGAAACATGGGATAGTGAGAATAAAAGAAATAAATCAAGGTCCAAAGTAATCCGAAGGTGCATTGGAATAGTAAAAGGTGCCTTCCAAAAGCGAGGCAAATTATTAAAAAAAACGAAAAAACTTTCGTTTGAAAAACAGAAACAAAACCCTACAAAACTGCTATGGCATATCAATCCTCTTTCCTATATGACAGTGAATGCTGGATTTCTTTTTACACATGAAATAAACTTTTGAGGTAATAGAAAGGCTTTTCTACAGAAGAATGCTAGGAATAATGTAGACGGAACATGAAAGCAACGAAGATATTTCAGTTTCTAGAAAGCTATCTGTATTTTGCTTAACTTTCCGGGTCAATTTGTTCATATCCATGTATCAAATTTTTTCTGATAAATTTCAAGGCCTCTTACAGGAAAATAAAAAAAA